CAGCCCATTTACAATTCTACTATGCTTGAACGAGAAATATCCCCCCTTCGGGAATGGCCTAAAGACACTACAGTCAGTGGCACTTGCCCGCGGGATATTTGTTTATCTAATGAGGTAGATTCCTTTGTTTGTTTATCTAGTGAGCTAGGTTCGTTTGCTATTTGTCACGGTCAGTCGGGTACCTTCGTTTATTTGTGAGGCATCGGGATGAAATCAGGGGCTCGTCAAAATTCATTTATTAATTGTTTAAGTTTATCTAGTGAGGTAGATTCGTTTTTTTGTTTATCTATTGAGGTAGGTTCGTTTGCCTGTTTATCACGGTCAGTCGGGTAGGTTCGCTTCATTTGTTGATGTAGTGAGGTAGATCCCTTTATTTGTTTATCTAGTGAGGTAGATTCCTTTATTTGTTTTTCTAGTGAGGTAGATTCCTTTATTTGTTTATCTAGTGAGATATATTCGTTTATTTGTTTTTCTAGTGAGGTAAGTTCGTTTGCCTGTTTATCATGGTCAGTCGAGTACCTTCGTTTATTTGTGAAGCATTGTGATGAAATCAGGTGTTCATCAAAGTTCATTTATTAATTATTGTTTAAGTTTATCTAGTGAGGTAGATTTGTCTATTTGTTTATCTAGTGAGCTAGGTTCATTTGCCTGTTTATCACGGTCAGTCGGGTAGGTTCATTTCTTTTGTTGATGTAGTGAGGTAGATCCCTTTATTTGTTTATCTTGTGAGGTAGATTCGTTTATTTGTTTATCTAGTGAAGTAGGTCCCTTTATTTGTTTATTTAGTGGGCGAGGTTCGTTTCATTTGTTGATGTAGTGAGGTAGATTCCTTTATCTGCTTATCTAGTGAGCTAGGTTCGTTTGCTGTGTATCACGGTCTGTCAGGTAGATTCGTTTATTTGTGAGGCATCGTGATGAAATTAGATGTTCGTCAAAATAATGAAATCACAGAAATCTGCATTTGGAAGCGGAGCTTTTGAATGTTCAAAATGAGGCAAACTTTTGATCTCTGCCAGAAGTGGTCTCTTTGGCGCAACAGAAACCACATATCTTAACCTTTGATTCTTCAAATACTCCTATTTTTCTGGAGAAATGTGAGGCAGTGTGGTGAAATCAGGCGCTCGTCAAAATAATGAAATTGAAGAAACTGACATTTTTATGCCAGTTTGGCAATTCCTATCGAATTATTGTTTTTTTTTCTTAACACCATTGTTGTCCAATTAGGAACACATTTCTGGGTGGATTTTATTGAATAAACTTTATTAAAGCCACAAAAATATGAGTTTTCAGTTTCCACGGACTATCAAGCTATGGAAATAACCAAACTTTGGCAGCCATTTTCTAGCTAATTCTACCTTTGAAACCAGACGACCCCACCCTCTTCAATCTGAAATATCTCGACTTCTATTCAAGATGTATAGGCATTTTTCTCACTGATAGCAAGACAACTGAACAAGCTTTAAGATGATACCAATAACTTCACATGCCTAAAAATTGACGAGCACCTGATTTGATTTCACCTGGTCGTGGCACAAATATTCTCCTCTGTGGATGCATTGGTTATCCTGAGATACTGGTGGACAAACTGTTTTTAATCTATTATTATTATTATTATTTTTATCATCATTATTATTATTATGATTATGATTATTG